TTTCAGGTAAGCAAAACCCTTTTGGATCAAGAGTTCTCTTGGGCAACCCCTAAGATTTAATTAACTAACCGGGATGCGTCCGCTTAGGTGCACTCATGGCCCCAGAACAGACACCTACACTTAAATCTCTGGTTATGGGTAGTCTACGTAGATATTCTTTCGCGGATATCGTTTAAGGTGTTTTCGCTCAATCTTGTTTGGGCGAACACTTTTAATCTATCCTTGCGAGGTTTACCGCACGTAGGCTTTTTCGCTCAATCTTGTTTGGGCGAACACTCTTAATCTATTCTTGCGAGGTTTACCGCACGTAGACTCTTCACGTTTTGTGTTTTCTCTTATTTGTCGCTTTGTCGTATGTCATTTTTTTTTATTCATTTCCTCTCCTCTTTGAAACACTAATTTGATTTGGGAGGGAGATTTATTCAAATAAGGGAAGTATACGAAGATCGACAAGTTGACAACTTTTTCTAGAATAAAAGAGAGAAAAACGAACGAAAACATCTTCCTCAGCCTTTTTCATGCTATTGATGATAAATTATCGGATCTAAAGTTTATAGTTATCTTCTATCAGATTACTTCTAAGATTATCCATGTTGTTTCGTAGGTTGCATCAACCATCATTGTTCTAGCCCAACTAGCTAACTTTATTGTTTTAGCTGGCTTGAGTGTTGTAAAGACACCAAAGGTGATGTTTATTGTTTTTGCATGAAAACTATTGTTCCACCACTTTGACAATTTGTGTTAGCAATTGGGAAGGTTGTGAGGAGTTGTTTGGTTATTGTATCGATTATCCAACTCTTTTGTTTAATTTATCCTTTTGAATTCCTTCATATGAACTTTTGAAGGGAGTGTGTTTTATTGCACCCCCAACTAATCAAAGCTCCAATTGCATATATCATGAACTTCTATTTTATCATTCATCCAACTTTTGGCTCCAATTTTAGGTAAATCCAATACATCATGACCTTCTATTTTATCATTCCTCCAGGTTTTGGCCCCAATTTTGTGTGAAAGTTCCAACACTTATCATTGGTGTGGCCATGGAGTTGATAATGTGTGCAAAACTACCTTTACTTGTTTATTTGCATTGATTGCCTTTT